TCGCATGGTTGGATTCTAAAGCCATCAAAAGAATCAATTTTGTGATTTACTGCTACAATTAATAATTGTCCCAGTAAATGCCCAAACCCTACAGAACTGGTGCCTTCAGAGAGCACTACAATACATTTAATTTGGCGTCCCTGGGCCGGCTATGGCAACGTTACAGATGCATACCCCATGCCCCGTATAGATGAACTAATTGAGCGATTAGGGCAACACCCGATACATCAGCACCCTTGATCTTACGAAGGGATATTGGCAAGTGCCGCTGGCCAAAGAAGATAAAGCCAAAACCGCTTTTGCCACACCTGAGGGGCTATATCAGTATAGGGTCCTACCCTTCGGTTTGCATGGCGCTCCCACAACGTTTCAAAGATTAATGGACCGAATTCTGAGACCGTATCGGGATTTTGCAGCCGCCTACTTGGATGACGTTGTGATCCATAGCACGACATGGGAACAACATCTAAACACCTGGAAGCAGTGACTGGAGCGTTGCGAGCAGCAGGATTAAAAGCCAACCCAAATAAATGTTGTCTGGGGGCTCGGGAAGCCAATTATCTGGGTTATACGATCAGGAGAGGATTGATCATGCCCCAAGATCAGAAGGTGCAGTTAATTAAGAACTGGCCCAAACCTGCTACCAAGAAGCAAATCCGAACATTTTTGGGACTGGCATGTTACTATCGACGTTTCATTCCAGGGTTTGACTCCATTACCGCCCATCTGCACGACATGACAAAAGCAAGCTGTGCGGAGAAAATAAAATGGACCGACTTGGAAGAGAGGGCCTTCCGAGACTTGAAGACAACCCTCTCTTCTCAACCCGTCTTACAGGTGCCAGACTTCAATAAACCTTTCATGGTACAAACTGATGCTTCAGACACTGGAATTGGAGCCATACTCTCGCAAGAAATTGAAGGACTGGAGCACCCTATTCTGTATATCAGCCGTAAGTTGAATCCGGCGGAAAAACACTATTCTACGATAGAGAAAGAATGTCTAGCAATCAAATGGGCCCTAGACTATTTGAGGTATTATTTATCGGGAAAACAATTTATATTATACACAGATCATGCGCCATTAACATGGATGTTACAAAATATGGATAAAAATGATAGAATTACACGATGGGGTCTTAGTCTGCATAGGTTTCAATTCCAAACGGTATATAGACCCGGAAGGAAACAAGGAAATGTAGACGCCCTCTCCCGAATCCACTGTTTATTTTTTTCTAGATCGCCTGAGGTCGGGGCTGATCTCAGGGGAAGGGAATGTAAGAGGACAAGCTGACCCGCTATTGGGAAAAGCCTATGCAGCGAAACAAGGAGACACAGGTGAACTTCATCGGGAAACAGGATATAAATGCCCCAGAAGCGATGAGCCGGGGCGGAAGCCGATAAGGTGAAAGCGTTTCAGAGGAAGGAGAGATTTAGGAGTGTGCTGGAAGGAATTTAAGAATAAAGGACTATTGGATACGGGTTTTGACTAGGATTACGGATTACGGCGCAGAGTAGTGTGGACATACGGATTTGGGAACTTGGATCATTTAAGGATACTGGCAACAGATTGCGGAACAGATTTGGGGAGACATACGGACGAAGAACACAGAAGATCAGTGTGGTGTGAGTTAGATCTCTTTTACACCTATTTTCCCCCGGCGACACTACAGCATGTACTTCAATACTTCATACATATCTCATTTACTGATTATTATTTCATTTTGCAATACAGCACAGAAGCCTTACAATGCCCAGGAAATTTGTGACTTTCATAATCATTTTTTATTTTTTATTAGGAACATTGTGATACCAGGTTTTTTTTGCACACTTCTGGTTGAATACATTGAATTGAAGAGGATTTTTGTCACTAACATCTCACAGGACAGGACCCTGGCATTTTATTTTAAGATGCACTCTGTACCCCACAATCTGATCTACACCGGCACTGAGACTCCCTGCGCCCCAGAATCTGGTCTACACCAGCACTGGGACTCCCTGAGCCCCAGAATCTGATCTCCCTGCACCTTTAGAACTTGAGAGGGAGGTACAGTATAGGGCAGGGCAGTACAGGGCAGGGCAGGACTGTACAGGGCAGGGCAGTACAGGTCCATACAGTACATTATAGGGCAGGGCAGTACAGTAGAGGGCAGGGTAGTGTCGTGACAAGGTTATGTCACTGTAATTAGGCTTAAGACAATCAAGAACAAGGCTTAACTTTCTTTTAAATTCTTTACAATCATCAGGCAATTTAGGAAAATACTTGACTAATGCAAATAATTCACTAGGAGACCAATGTCAATGTACATATGCTGGAGTTCCTTCTGGGCCTGGAAAAGTACACATGGGCATTTCACGAACAAGTGAAAAGGCTTTGGCTCCGGACCGCTTTCTAATTTCGGTGGAGACTTTTTCTTTTTTGTACGCATGGCCGTGACTTTAGCTGCAGCCTGCTGTTCTTTAGTTTCAAGACTAGTCTTTTTTGAAGCTTCCCATCATTTCCGTGATTCCTCTTTCCATGACATATAAGTTTTCCAATTCACTTTCTTTCCTTTCTTCTCCTTCTCTTCTAAGTTTCCCCTTAAGATTTCTATTTTATCCCTGTCATCTCATCTTCAGGAAACTTCTTTTTCCTAATTCCACTTTCCTCTGTCCATTCTGACCACTTACAAAGATCCTTCAAAGTTATGGGCCCCTAATTATCATATATAAATCACGTGCAAGTTCCCTTTTGAGGTACTGGCACATTTTGAGAGCTCTGATTATTTCACATATTTACTAAAAAACTGCCTATATTATTTAAACAGCAGAGGTTTAGTGATCCAAATACATTTATCTCCTACACCAATGTTAATAAGTTCCCTATAAGAAATACATGTGGCTCAAAAAATATTACAGTATGTTCTACTTTGCATACGCAAAAAAATCTATTGTTATCCTGTTATCCCTTTCAGTTGATAAATATTTCCCCTTACATCTATTACCCTAGCTTCACAGTTCATGAACATAAAAATATTTTTCTTCTGGCGGGACTCTAACCCGGGCTTAGTGGGACTCTAACCCACACACTCCTGCTTTTTCTTTTTTCCTTTTTTCTCTAAATTTGTCGTACTTTGCTGGACCGCTCAGCCCAGCTTTGCCTTTAGAGCTCTCGTTTCCCATTGTCGACCACGCCTTACTGTTTCTAGAACACTATCACATTAACTACTCCGCAGAGCAAAAACCACACGTCTGTGTGAAGATATGTTCATTTCACGAGCCCCAGACTCGCCGGGTCCCAGACCCGTTACCCGTTAAGTCCCTGACTTATCGAACACCCCTGTGGCTCGCTTTTCAACCTATTAGTTCTTTAAGGATCACTTACTGACGTCAGACAGCTGCCAATTCTCCAGACGCGTCTCTGTAAGGATAAACAGATTATCCCCCGAGGTTCGTCCAATTCACTAAAATTGTCCGGGCCCGGATGGAGTCTCAGCAGCCGTCCGCGCTCAGGTTCGTGATCCCATCCTCGTCGCCAAAGATTGTCGTTGAATTTTATCAAAGAAGAGCCAGGAGAGGTATTCTCATTCACTCAGTAAGGTCTTTATTCATATTGCAATATGGGAGCCCTGCTGTCACTCTGCAGAGTGCGTCAGGGACTTAACTCATTACAAGCAGTACAGGATTTTATAAGATGTTGCAATGTAAGGGAAAGTTCAGCACTTTGTCCCTTCTAACACTTCCCCTTTCCTTAAGACAAAACAGATTACATCATAAAAACGAAAGAAGAAGCACCAATATAGTTTTTCAGTTACCTTCGGCTAATCTAATAACCCAGACAGTACATACTGTGTTGATAAACTGTCTTCTAAAAGTAACCTAGACAGTGCGTACTTTGTTGACACACTGTCTTCTACAAATCTGCACGCAGCACAGCAGTTACATCCTTGTTATATATTTTCCTAAAGCTCTCTACATTTTAAGAATCAATTTATTTATTAGATTTCCATTTCAGTAGTACAGGAGTGGGTAAGGAAGGGCAGTACAGTACAGTACAGGGGAGGGCAGGACAGTACAGTACAGGGGAGGGCAAGGCAGGGCAGTACAGGGCAGGGCAGTACAGGGGAGGGCAAGGCAGGGCAGTACAGTATAATGCAGGGCAGTACAGGGGAGGGCAAGGCTGTACAGGGCAGGGCAGTGCAGTATAGGGTAGGGCAAGGCAGGGCAGTACAGTACAGGGGAGGGCAGGGCAGTACAGTACAGGGGAGGGCAGGGCAGTACAGTACAGGGCAGGGCAGTACAGGGGAGGGCAGGGCAGTACAGTACAGGGGAGGGCAGGGCAGTACAGTACAGGGGAGGGCAGTACAGTACAGGGCAGGGCAGTACAGGGGAGGGCAAGGCAGAGCAGGGCAAGGTAGTACAGCACAGGGGAGGGCAGGGCACTACAGTAC